CCATCTCTATGCATTCTTATTCTCCCTCCCTCCCCCTTTCTCTTCCTACTTTCCTCCCTCTTTCTCCCCTCCTTCCACCCATCCCTTTCGATTCTTTCCCTCCCTCTTTCTTTCTTCCTCTCTCTCTCTCTCTCAAATTCCTTCTTGCCATCCTTCCTTCTACAGCTCGTTGTCTTTCCTCTACAATGTCCCTTCTTCCAGAGGCCAGGTCTACCCACCCCATTCCACTATATTGGTAGACCTGGCCTCTGGAGACCAGGTCTACCCACCCCCTTCCGCTATCTTGGTAGACCTGCCCTCTGGAGAGCAGGTCTACCCACCCCCTTCCGCTATCTTGGTAGACCTGGCCTCTGGAGAGCAGGTCTACCCCCACCCCCTTCCACTATCTTGGTAGCCCTTCCCTCTGGAGAACAGGTCTACCCACTGCTTTCCACTATTTTGGTAGCCCTGCCCTCTGGAAGGGGGGAGGAACACCACCACCCGCCTGGGCCCTCCAGCCCCTCGGGCGGCCGGGTGGGGACACTTCAGGCGACCTTTGCCGGCCAGAGACTCAAGTGGCCGGGGGCTACCGGGAAGAGGGCACAGCCCTGCGGCGGGGCAGCCAAGCTAGCGCCTGTTGTCTTCATTGCTACAACGGGCCTGATTCCTAGTCCTATATATATACAAGCCCAGCATATTGTCACTTTCTGGCTCTCCCATTGGCTGTGCTGTGCGCTCCATCAGCCATTGGACCATGAACCACCACTTCAGAGTACTCATGTGCCATTGGCTGGGTGCTAGACCTGCTTCTCTCCCCCACCAACTGCCGGCTTGGCCATTCACTGTCTGAATAAACTGCCAAAACTGCTGGGTAGCTCACTTTCCCCTCAGTGGCTGTTGCTAGGTAACCAATCTTGGTTCTGTCAGTAAAAAGGAAAAAACTCAGTTCTTAACCGTGATGGATTTGCATGTCTTGGCAATTTCTTTCAGCAACAATGTGTCTTAATAAAGTTTTATATAACTATCTTAGTTTTCTGGAAGTTCGTCCTTTCTTCTTGTATTTAAATACCTCCATTGTGGGATTACAACTTTTCTCTTTTTGACTCTTGAGTCTAAGACCATTTCCCTTTCACACAAACCATGGGTCCTTTCTGAGTTGGACCCACTGAATAAGAAATATTCTCCTTTTTCTAGGAGTAATAATCCTTTTCTGTTTGGCTAGACTGACAGTTTCAACCTACTATCCAGTCTCTTCTGTCAAACCTAAACCCCAGTCCTGGAGACTGTGAATAAATGGAATTTAGCTAGGGCTGACACTTAAGTTCTAATTTCTGAACTTTTCCTCAAATGTAATGGTACATAGTAAGAGCAAGTATTTGTGTCCATTCACTTCCCAAGTGAACTTGTCTGTTTTCCTCATACACTCCTCCTGACTGGCAACTGCCAAGCCAAAGTCCAAATGATGAGAACTGACTCCTCTGACAAGACTGACAAGACTTTTTAAAGTTTACCTCACCTGGTGCTGACCAGTCAGAGAGAAGGGGGTGCATGCAGGCAGCAGCCTGTCAATTAAACTGTGTAATAGCAGAGGGAATTCTGTTTCGCTTATCTGAAGAAATGTGCTTGTACATGAAAACTTATAACTTGAATAAAACTTTGTTGATTTTAAAGGCACCACTGGACTCAAGCTTTATGTTCTGTTAATGTTTGCTAAGAGTACTTGAGAAGTTGTACTAATTAGACATGATTTAGGTATGTGAGGCCTCCCCTTCTTTTCCATGAGAGCCAGTTTGGTGTAGTGGTTAAGCATGGACTCTAATATGGGAGAACAGGGTTTGATTCTCCACTCCTCTATATGCAGCTGCTGGTGTGACCTTGGGTCAGTCATAAGTTCTTTCAGAGCTGTTCTCTGCTGTTCTCTCAAGGGCAATTCTTGAGAGATCTCTCTTAGCCCCACCTACCTCACAGGGTGTCTGTTGTGGGGAGGGGAAGAGAAAGGGGTTGTAAGCCGCACTGAGACTCCTTTGGGTAGTGAAGGGTGGGGTATAAATTCAATCTCTTTTCCTCCTCACTGAGCAGTCTGCGTGATGTCTGCCAGAAAGAGCAGAAAACTTACTGGAGAAGCCAAATGCCATGCATCAGTTGCATAGTTCTGGCCACCAGGCTAGGCCCAATTCTGCAGAGCCTGCTGCTGGATTTTAGATTTTCCTGCAGACTCAGGATATTTTTGAGGTTTGTAGAAAGATCTGTCTTGTCTGTTCATGGCTCCAGTCTCTGGATTTAGGTTTCTGTAGATCTGACCATGTTGGCAATTGGATATAATTGATAGTGAGTGATGCAGGACAAGAAGAAAGGAATGTGAATAGTAGATATTGGAAGGTAATTTGGACAGAAGTAATGATCTTATACTCTTTTTCATATAATTCTTCAAATCTAGATCTCTCAGATTAGAATTTTTAAAGGAATATCTTGTGTTTATGTTGCAGAGTGGTAGCCATTTTACTCTGCTGTAGCCAGATGAGACGGACTACATTTAAAACACTGTTTTCCTAATGCAGCAAATCAGAAAAGGGAGGTGAATAGTTAACTCTGCTCTAGAATGTTGAGCTTGAATGACAGAATGCTCCTTTTCTCTGACTGGCCAGTGCCAGCTGAGGGAAATACAAGACCAGCTGTTTGCTGGGGGGAGAGTTAATTCATTTTGAGTTCAGCAGCAGTTGCTGTTCAGTAAAGTAAAACTTCAGCTAAAGGAGTGGATGTCTGAAGAGTCTGACTGAAAGTCTGTCAGATAGGTTCACCTTTTGAATAAAGGGAGAGACTCCTAGTCTTAGCTGTGTGAAACATAACCTGAGAAAGAATTCCATCTAAGAATTCAGAGTCTAGTGTCGGCTAAAGCTGAAGTACGTTTTCACACAGACATCAAGAACTGGGGATTGAGATTTTGGTGAAGAGTGACTGGGAAGCATGCTGAAGTTCCCAATCAGACCAAAAGGAATAGAATTATATTTTCAGGGAAGAAATATAAGTCCCGTCCAGCCATATAGAGAATTCCCCTGGTTCTTTGTGGAATGAAACAGTTATAGACTACTCAGGGGAAAGAAGAAACACTGTGATTTCAGAATAGGGGAAAGAATTTGAAAATCTGAACAGTTAATAGGAACCTATATGCAGAAACATTGTAACTAAAACTTAAGTATTCAGTCAACCATCTCTCACTAAGGATCAAGAATTTAATTCAAGAAAATAAGCTGTTTCAACACCATCTTGTCTGTCAACTGGAAAATATACTGTTTTACCAATGTTTACCTCAGCCTTTCCAATTCCTGACTACCCCCTACCATCCCTGCCTATTAAATACAATTTTTATTATTGTTCATTGTACACAGTCTCCAGTGCCATTTCAAGGGATCTAAAAAGAGGGCTCCTGTTTTCTCCTGACAAGTTCCTGGGCTGGGCAAAAGCCAAATCAGATTCTGTCTTAGTGTGGGACATTCAGATTTATAAAGTGACAAATATCATCACGCTACTGGGGGCTAGTTCAGTACCTGAAGGTCTAAGAATTTGGCAGGGAAAATCTGCCTCAGAGTGGGGAGAGTGATAGTGGGTCTGTCATACCGCACTATCATAATTTTTATGGCATAAGCTTTTGTGAGTAAGGTCTTCATCAGATCTGATGAAGTGGGCTCTGCCTTATAAAAACTTATGCCATAATAAATATGCTAGTCTTTAAGGTGCTGCAAGACTGTCTTGTTACTTGCAATGTTACAATAAAATTCAAGTAACTTTTAATGTTTTTGACTCCTATGAAATGTTTGTTTTAATGTGAAGAAGAGCTGGTTTCATACCCTGCCCTTCACTCGGAGTTTCAGAGCAGCTTACAGTTTCCTTCCCCTCTTCTCCCCTCAATAGACACCCTGTGAGTTAGGTTGGGCTGAGAGAGCTCTGAGAGAACTGCTCTTGAGAGAGCAGCTCTGAGAGAACTGGGACTGACCCAAGGTCACCCAGCTGGCCGTATGTGGACAAATGGGGAATCAAACCCGGTTCTCCAGATTCAAGTCTACTGCTCTTAACCACTACACTAAACTGGCTGTTGTACACCGCCCTGAGCCTTGTTGCAGGGAATGGGCGGTATAAAACTTGAATATAATAAATAATGTGTTGTCCAAACCATTCATTTCTGTTCTTAAACAGAACACTAAAGTATATTTCAGTATGACTTGGAGATTTATCTGCTATGGCTTCAGTATGACTTGGAGATTTATCTGCTATGCCCTAAAATATCTGCTCTTCCTGTTGAAGAGGCCGTCTAGCTTGGCTCTGGTTGAGTTTCTAGCAGTGACTTCCCTGAGATGTGCACATGGGCAGGGCTGATCTTAGTGAATCTGGGCCCTGGACAAAAGTCCAGCATGGGACCATGGAGTCACTGCCCCTGCCATCTCCTGCACTGGGGCAGATAGCATGAGGGAAGCAAACAGCTCCGGCCTGGAGTGCCCAGATCCTGGTTTCGGGATTAAGCTGACTGATAGATTTTTGGGCAAATACGTTTCCTTTTTTGCCTTTTATAAGAATTATTCTCCTTTTCAACCTTTCTTACAGGGTTGCTAAGGTAGTAACTGACTTACACATGCTTGTAGCAAGGGCAGGATAAAACTTGTTTATTTAGGAAATGTATGTGTTGCCTATCCAGACACCTGCTTGAGGTGGCTCACAATGTAAAACATGATACAATCATAAAAACAGCAGAAGTCATGAGAATTCTGCTGTTAAAAACCAGGCCAGAGCCCAAAGTCAGCACAAAAAATTTAGCCAACTGAAATAAACCTCATAAAATATTTTAAAAGTCCTCAGGATAGAGGTAGACAATAAAAGCAGATCAAACTTCTAAATAAATTAATTTAAACAGATCAAATGTCTTCATTTAATAACCTGGCTAAAAGAAATGTATTGGGCCTGTTGCCTTAAAAGAGTCAGGGGCCACCTGGCTCTCAGGGGATGGAGGGGCGGGCATTTCACAGGCGAAAATGACAGTCACTGAAGATAAGGTATGTGTGAAAAGTGGGGAACATTCTTCAGTTCACAAACTGTGTGAACAATACAGAAATTAAGGTTTACTTGGAAGTGTGACTTCAAATAAGACTCCGCACAGTTTTGCCTCTGTTTAAGTGACTGTATCCTGTGTCACACAAAGCACCATAAACATGTCTTGGGGTGACATAACAAAGCAAGATGGCAGCAGTTTAACTTGTCTATTTATTTGGAAACTATTTACAGTTTTTTCTCACCATAGGGTGTTACTAAATGTTAACTCTCCATGTGATCACTGATGGTCACGAGGGTAATGCTGCTTTTGGTGATTCTAAAGACAAGTTCACATGCCTGTTATCAGTTTATGTTGAATATATGTGATTGCGTAGCAGCCCTGTGTGTGCCTGCACATTTGATATAATGTTTGCCACAGTGCTGTGTATACTGACAGCCTTATATTATAAATGAAGCTATGGGTGGCACTACTGTGCAGATCAAAACATCCATTGGGGGGCACACTACTGGTCTGATCCAGCTTTTTATACCGCTCTCTGAAGGCCAGTTTTCTGTGCATGTGAAATACAATCATCAAATCAGCTTCTGATTTGATGATTGTATTTCATATATCTAAATAAATACATGCACTTAGTAGGATTTGTTGGCTCAGGTCTGTTGGCTTGCATACACAGTATATGCCTTACATGTGAGCTTTATATTTTTACTGGTTTTGGAAATATTACATATACAAATTGCAAGTGTTTCTCTACTGTCTAGATTTTAACTGCCCTTCAGAGGAAAGCTACTAGTAGCAATCATTTTTATTATACTTCATTTGCACAGTGTTTATCCTGTTATGTCCTTACAAATAGCCTTGTGAGAGAAGTCCCTATTATTGCTTTAGAATATATGTTTAACCATTCTGTATTGTATTTGTTTATGATAAATATTGGGGGCATGCAACTAAATCTTATTAAGAACCCTGCTGGATCAGACCAGTAGTCCATCTGGCCCAGCATCCTGTCTCACACAGTGGCCAATCAGTTCCCCTGGATGGCCAACAACAGAGTACAGAGGCTGAGGCCTTCCCCTGATGTTGCCTCCTGGCACTTGGATTCAGTGGTTGACTGCCTCTGAATGTGAAGGTTGCCTTTGGTCACCATGGCTAGTAGCCACTAATAGATCTATGCTCCATGAATCTATCTAATCCTTTTAAAAAACTGTCTATGCCTGTGGCCATCACTACATCTTCTGGCAGCAAATTCCACATTTTAATCACTCCCTGTGTAAAGAAATATTTACTATTGTCTGTCTTGAATCTACTGCCCATCAGCTTCATTTAGAGCCCTTAAGTTATAGTATTTTAGGAGAAGGAGAAAAAATTATTTTTATCAACTGTCTCCACCTTGTGCATAATTTTAGAAATCTCTACAATGTTCCCCCCCCCCAGTCATCTCTTTTGTAAATTGAAAAGTCCAAGGTTCTTCAGCCTTTCCTCATAGGGCAGGTGCTCCAACCCCCTAATCATCTTGGTTGCCCTCTTCTGTACTTTTGATTGCTCTGTGAAGTCCTTTTTGAGGTACAGCGACCAGAATTGTACACAGTATTCCAAATGAAGCTGTACTATAGATCTGTACAGGGCCATTACAATATTGGATGATTTATTTTCAGTCTCTTTCCCAATAATCCCTAATTTAGAGTTTGGCTTTTTCACTGCTGCAGCACAGTGGGTTGACACTTTCACTTAGCTATCTCAGCAAGTTCAGACCCCATCAGCCTATATTTGAGGTTGGATTTTTTTGTCCCTATGTGCATCATCTTACATTTAGCAACAATGGAGTTCATTTGCTATATTGTCATCCACTCATCCAATTTTTGGAGATACTCCTGGAGCTCTTCAGAGTCATCTTTGGTTTTTACCATCCAGAATAATTTTGTGTCATCTGCAAATTTGGCCACTACACTGTTCACCCCTAGTTCCAGATATTGTACTGTGCAGAGTTTCCTGTCTTTACTTACTGGATTGAGTTATGTGAGGGAAAAAAACCTTTGCATTCTTTGAGTTTTCAACCTCCTGCCAGTGTCGTTGCAGTTGGGTTTTTTATGTTCTTGGATTTTCATCCAGTACTAGCTGAAGGAAATATTTTGGAAGTGTTAAAGGGAGTGATGGGCATGTGATAGTTTATGGATTATACCAGCTTTTCACAGCTCTCATGGTTGATTCGTAAAATGCTGAAGGCTCAGTTGCCTTACTGTTGAGCAAAAGGAAAGAATGAACTAAGTGAATGCGGTGTTGGGTAGGTCTGAGAATCTTACATATAACATTAATAATAAGCTCTTTTTTCTCTGCAGGTCAACTTTGTAGTGTGCCAACTGTTTGCCTTGCTTGCCGCTGTTTGGTTTCGAACTTACCTTCATTCAAGCAAAGCTAGTCCATTTATAAGGCATGTTGTTGCCACCCTTTTGGGCCTTTATCTTGCACTATTTTGTTTCGGATGGTAAGTAATTTGATTCCACCCCTTTTGCAGTACATGGGTTTTGCTTTCTCACATCAATTTGACCGCTGTGTTATCATTGCTACAGTGTTGGTGCACATGTTCCTTGTTGAGGAGGGGACTGGAGGAAGTGATTGAAGCTCTTTCAGTTTCCACATTCAAAAAAATTGACATGATGGGTTCCAAATCATGGTGAACTAAATAAAAGCTTGAGAGTGTTTTTGTTGCCTCAGCACACTGTAAAAGTAAAGGCATTACACTATCCAAGCTGAAATGCACAATCTATTCATTCATTTTGTCTCTCTTTCTCATTCCTGCCCCACCTTTCATTCAGAGAGCTCAATGCAGCATGCATAATACTGGCCTCCCTCCTTCTGTCCTCACAAAAGCTCCCTGATGTAGATTCTTCCAGTGATATTAGTGTCTGTCTTGTAATTGTATGGCTGAATTGGGAACCTGACCCACAAAAAGAGTTTCTCTGCATTTAGGAAACTAGCATTTGGCTTCCTGGTCCAAAAGTGATTCTGTTGTAGCTCTTTGCCCCTCACCTGGTGTAATGTAAGTCATAGAAATGCCCATGCTTCGTGCTTTATTTCTCTTAAATCTCTGTCCCTCATCCCTGTTCTGCTGCAATATGGGGATGGTAACACAGACATAACTTACAGGGCTGTCCTAAATGTAAGATAATGGCTTGGACCACTAGAATGTTTCTGAGGATGGAAGGAGTTCTGCTTGTAGACCATGAATTTCTTACCTCTCCCCTCCTGCTTAAGCCTAAAATGTCTCTCCCCCCCACTAATCTTGTGGGTTCCCTGTCCCTTAAGGTGCTGCATTTCGGGGTGGGCATTTTTGGCTGTAGTGGGCGAAGGGAAGAAAGGGGTGGGTAGACCTGTTCTCCAGAGGACAGGTCTACCACTATAGTGGAAAGGGGTGGGTGAAATTTGACTTGATTCTGTTTTCTCTTACAATGTTTAAATTATCCTTACAATATAGTTTAAATATAATTTAAAATAATTTATTCTGAGATTTTTACAGGGTTATAGTAGTAATCTAAAAAACTAATTTACGCAGTAGTCAAATTTAGACTTGCTCACAACTTTAATGCTACTAGCTTTTTTTGCTCCCGGGGTAGAATTTCTGCTCACAACACTGTGGAGCTTAGAGAGAACATTGATTCTTACCAACATTCCAGTCCTTATAACCTGTTCATTTAAGCAGTTTTTGCCTCCTCAGTTTGGAAGGGAAACTTGGTGTGCTGGGCATTCTTTCTTGTCCTGTGTAATTCTGGAAGGATGTCTTAAAGAACACCAAGAAACTGTCCAAATATTCAGGAAGAGTATGAGGTGTACCAGTTCAGGATGTGGGATTACGTGTTAACAGTTAAATTGTATGCCAGAAAAAGTATGTCGGAGAGACGGCTAGGCAAAAGTTCTTTCCCCTAACAGGCATAGTGTCCACATATATTACATTTCTTTCTTGTCCTGTGTAATTCTGGAAGGATGTCTTAAAGAACACCAAGAAACTGTCCAAATATTCAGGAAGAGTATGAGGTGTACCAGTTCAGGATGTGGGATTACGTGTAAGTATGTCGGAGAGACGGCTAGGCAAAAGTTCTTTCCCCTAACAGGCATAGTGTCCACATATATTACATTGTTAATGTGTGCAAGCATTCAGACGTTTGTTTCAATTTGTACTCTGAAGTGGTAGAATCTTGCTGTGGGGCAAACTAGATATTGTACAAAAATGAATGTTAACATCTTCCTGACCCTTTTTAAATAGCTGTGCCAGACACAGCTTTTCTTATCAGAGAAATGGCAGGGGAAGGGGGCACAATCCTCTACCCACTCTAAATCACCTTTAAGTACAGAGGAGGGCAACCAAGATGATTAGGGGGTTGGAGCACTTGCCCTGTGAGGAAGGCTGCAGAGTCTGGGACTTTTCAGTTTAGTAAATGGACAACTAAGGGGGGGGGACATGATAGAGGTTTCTAAAATTATGCACAAGGTAGAGAGAGTTGACAGAGGGAACTTTTTCTTCCTCTCCTAAAATGCTAGAACTCAAGGGCATTCAGTGAAGCTAATAGGCTGTAGGTTCAGGGCGGACAAAAGGAATAAATACTACTTTACACAGGGATCACTGCCAGAGGATGTAGTGATGGCCACAGGAATAAACAACTTTAAAAGGGGATTAGGTAGATTCATGGAGTATAAGTCCATCAATGACCACTAGCCATGGTGACTGAGGGGAACCTTCACATTCAGATGCCACTAATCCTGTGAATCTCAAAGCCAGGACGCAACATCAAGCGAAGGCCTCGGCCTCTGTGCCCTTTTGTTGGCTATCCAGAGGAACTGGTTGATCACTGTGCGAGACAGTATGTTGGACTAGATTGAGTAATGGTCTGATCCAGCAGGGTTCTTATGTTCTATGTCACTTTCTCCCCATGGAATTCAAAGTGTTTGTGTGCCAATTTACCTGCATTTGGAACTCCATTTGCAAAAAGCCCCTTGTGACAGGGAATTAGTTAATTATTCCCTTCCCAACCACTTTTATATTCAACCAGCACTCATACTTATTCCCCTAAAGTCCCTAAACAGAAACAGAGTCCCTAAAAGTCCCATTTTTAAATCCTAGGTCTCTAAAGTCCCCAAAAATGAGTATATGGATTTTTTTGAATAATTTATGTAAATATTCATGGTTTTCAATATATATTTTTAGGTAACTTGCAACAATTCAGGCCTAACGTCTTCAAAAATGGCTACATTTCAACTTTTCGTCCTGGATATGACGTTAAACTGCCTCTTCAGGGCCATTTCCCCTTGTTAATTTTTTTTAAAAAGTTTACCTTGGAGGCTTTCCTTGGCATTTCTTTCATTTCTTGTGGTAGCTGTACCTTTCTTCTTTCCTGTAGAAGTTCCCTTGGCCACTTCTTGTGTTTCCATCCCAAGACTGTTAGGTTATTGAAGGGCTAAGATGGTTCTGTCTGTAACTTTAAGTGACAATGGGGAAGTGCCATCCTAGTAAAGATTGGTTGCTACAAAAGGATTCACTTGAACATCAAATTGGGACATGGGCAAAAATGATAAGTGACAGTGAAGTGTCATGTATTGTTTGTGACTCTAAAATAAATGTTACCAAAGGTTTTGAAAAAATCAGTCAACATGTTACCACAAGAAAACATTTAAAAAACTGTGAAATAAAACATGGACCCTTACAATTGAACCTAGCACTTTAAGGAACTTGGGTCTGTTCAACTGCGAGGATAAGAAAGAAGCCTGATGAAGGGCCAATACTAAAAATCTAGTGTAAACTTATTATATACAGAAATACGTGTATTTATTAGAAAGACAGTTAAAAGCATATAAGGGCCTAATGAAAGCCTCGTTACAAAATGCAAGTTACCTGAACACATGGGCCAAAACAAGTGACCTGACGCGTTTCCGCCCTTTAGGGCTTCAACTTCGACATCAGAAGTTATTTCTTCATCATCAGAGAATCCAGCTTTAGAAACTTCAAGAAGCAATGAAGAATGTAGGCCTGATTCAGGTCAGTCTACAGTTGGAATTCTTAAGATGATAAGTGAGAAAGATGCCTCAATTTCTGCAGAAGTGATCCTGGCCATGAAATCTGTTATTTGTCACTACTCTTATGCATCTTGCTCTGGTTTCAAAGAAACATTTCAAACTAGGTTCCCTTGGCTAGATCTTACTACCCTTTCTTTTTTTGTAGCCAAGGTTGCATATCTTGTATCAGATGCACTTGGACCTTATTTTTGGAATAAACTAGTGGATGATGTGAGGAATTCTTATTTCAGCTTATGCTTTGATGAGACAACAGATGATGGTGGGCACAAAGAACTGCTAATCAAAATTTGATTTTGGTCTGACAGATTTCAAAAGGTGGAAAGTAGGTATATCAGGAGATTTTTAATTGGCTATGCAACTGCAGAGGACATGGAGAAGAAATTAAGTGAAGCCCTTGATGTCAGTAATTTATTGCCACTCAAACTTGTGGCACTTGGTAGTGATGGACCAAATGTAAACAAAAAGGTTTTTAGGCTGATGAGTGATGAAGTTGAAGTGTTGAGAGGCTGTGGTCTCATGCAGATTGGAACTTGTAACCTTCACCATCTCCACAATGTGTTTCAAAAGGGCCTGGATGAATTTGCGGAATCAGTGTCTGAACTTGTTGTATTGGTTTACAATTTTTTTCCATGAGTTCCCAGCAACATTCAAAGACTTTCAGAATATTCAACATGATCTTCAGCTTCCTTCCAAAGTCCTTATCAAACATGTCTCCTCAAGGTGGTTGACACTAGGACCAGCAGCTGTTTGACTCCTTGAGCAATGGCCTCCCATTAAAAAAAAAAAACTTTCTAGAATTTGTACCACTGCAAAAGTTATCACTGATGAAAAACCAGTCCTACAAAATCATTTCGTACTCTAAAAATCCTCTGTTCAAAGCTGAAATTCTTTTCGTCATCTCAAGTGCTAAAATTTTCCAAAAAGAAACTCCCATGAGTCATGTACTGTACAAGTATTTGGATAAACTTTTGAGGAAAATTAATAATAGAGTTTGCAAACCTGAGACAAATCAAGACTTTTCCTTTGATAGCAGATCTCTAAAAAAACCCTCACAGTATTTATATAAGTAAAGAAGTCCAGAGCAAGCTAAAAAAAGTTAAAGAAGCTGAAGCCCTCAGCTTCAAGTCAGAAGTTCAGAAGCACTTCATTGTGTCCAGGAAATACCTCCAGGAGAAATGCAACAAAAAGAGAGACTGTGTCCTTCATGATGTGCCTTTTTTAAATCCAAAAACTCACAAAGCTATCAACAGTGAAACAAAACTTCTGTAAGTGGCAAGGATTATGTTTTTTGATGTCTACACAGACTGCCTGATCGATGAGTGGAAGAGGATTAGAGCAGAAACAGTTATAGGAATCAATAACGGAGACCTTGAAACATTTTGGAAAGAATAAAGAATGTAATAAATGATACAAAATACAAGGAAGTAACAAAAGCAGTTAAAGGCTATCTTTCATTGCCACAGAACAGACAGCTGCTATGTGGGGCCCAAGTGGACACAAAGTCACACAGGATGGTACTACAATGAGGCACAGAATTGAGAGATAACTCCCTTTCTCCTTGTTGCATCTTCAAAAAAGCCAACAGGATCTAGTTCTGCCTATCTAAGCAGGCCCATCCAGGATTTTGTGGCTTGTGAGACGCTTTTTTCCCCCTGGTGGGGCTGAAGTTCTCAGTGCAGAAAGAAAAGCCAGAATTCTGAGGATTATGACTCAGCTGCTGTGGAATCAAGCCTTTTAAAATCAAATCATAGACTAGAGGCTTCTGCGAATCTTAGCCCCAGAGTGTGACAATAGCAGGTTGAGAAAGTGGTGGGGGGGAGAGAGAATAAATTTTCTGGTAGATAATAGGCATGGCACTGAAAATACTTATCTGGGTTTGCCCAGTAAACTCCAACATGTATAAAAACACATAAAAAAACAAAGGACAAACAACACATAGATAGGGGAAATAATGTATATAGTAAAGCAAGGAATGCAAACCAAAACAAAAAACCTAGCTGGCTATTCTACTCACTATTTTTCCAATCATGTGAGTAGCTCTGGCATCTCAGCTGGCATTTTTTTTTCAGCTGTCATACCTGGTCAGCAGAGTCTCTGGCAGCATGGCAGCACGGTGGAAGTTGAAGATATTTCAAGGCAGTCTCTTCTTTCTCTGAGTCTTCTATTCTGCATAGGTGTTCTTATGCTGGCAATCACCCTTAGGTTATTAACCATTTAGCCAAAAGAAAGCTGTTAACATGATAGATCTCTAAATGGCAAGCTGTCAGCCACTTTGGATGACAGTTGTCAGCTGCTGCAAGTTAATCACTTCTACCAACCTAAGCAGCAGTTCTGATAAGAAGCTGGCACGTGGGGGTGATGACTTCTATAGTCAAGAAAGCTAACACTTAGGCAGAAAAACTCTCTTAAAGGAGACCAGTTTCTTAACACAGAGTTAGAAGGGATCCTAGAGGTCACTTACTCCAACCCCCTTGTTCAGTGCAGGAATTAGTCAACTACAGCACACCTTTAAAAATGCTTTAAAATGATTGGGGGGAAAGCATTTACAGGAGAAATTCTTGTGGGGCTGTGCCTTTAAGAAAGGGGGCAGAGCCCCCAAAGCCCCATTGCAGCTATGGGCCTGTATCTAAGGGAGAGAGGATCTCTTATATGCATGTTGCATAACATACAGTTATGTTGTATACCTCTCATCTAGCAAGTAAACAAGTTAGCCTGTTAAGCTGCTACAGACAGATGGTGCTGAATCTTGCTCAGAGCAGGCCACAATAACATAATCAATATGGTGATTTATTCTCCAGAGTGGCATTCCTAATGTTGCTGTTGCTTCAGAAGATACATTAATCTCAGCAATGTGGAAAGGCTGGAAAAAAGCCGTGAATACAGAACTGAAAAGTTACGTTTCCTTGTATTTTTTTGTGGGCTAGAAATTAAATTTTTTTTTTTAAAAAATGGAGTACTATCTGAAAATGTAGCTGCTTTGTCCAGGAATCCCTGGTGGTCCATGAACATTCTTCAGTAGGTCCACAAGTCTTTTGTGAGAATGGGGGAGGAGCCCTTCTCACACCCATCTAGGTAATGTGAAAATGGAGCCCAGGGGCTCCCTCCTTTGAGGAAAAGGAGACAGAATCATCTACCCTTTCTTTCAAAGCCTAGGAGTTTGTAGAGTACTAGTGAGAAAATATACTGACTGGATTCAGTAGCTAAGAAGCAGGAACGTCTAACTGGCTGATTGGCGCCCAGGAGGTGAAGTCCCCTAATACTCTTATTGCCAGTAGAAATGATTCATCATAAAGACAGGCAATAAAAGCCGATGGCTGTTTTCAATTGAATTCCAGAAATTCTTGTGTTGTATGGTGCTGCTCTCTTTCTCTTAGAAGCTCAAATTTTTTCAGGTTCCTTCTCACCACTGGCTAGACATTATTAACCAGTAAGGATGCTTCTTGTGTTTGGTGCAAAGTCTTTTCAAATTGTTGTTGTTCTCAGTCGCACAGTTGAATATGACTCTTTGCGAACCCATGGACCACCTGTCTTCTGCCATCCTCTGGAGTTTGCTTAATTTCATGTTCGTTGCATTGGTAACACTGTCTAACCATCTCATCCTTTGCTGTCCCCTTCTTCTGTTACCTTCAATCTTTCCCAGCATCAGGGTCTTCTCCAGTGAGTGCTCCCTTCTCATTTGGTGGCCAAAGTATTTGAGCTTCATTATCTGGCCTTCCAGGGAACAGTCAGGTTTGATTTCCTTTAGGATTGACTGATTTGATCTCCTTGCAGTCCAAAGGATGAGTTTTATTAGAACTTGATCAAATCCACATTAGTTACTTGTCCTCAGGTTGTGTACAGACAATACAAATGACTTAAACTTTTTAATATGTACTTAATGTCGTTCTTGCTGTGTCCATTGTTGCGGTCACACATGGGTACTGTGCATGTGCAGGCCTGCTAAGAAGAGTTTTTTGAAGCTCAAAAATGCCTGGTGCTCTGTCCCCTCTCCCACACTGTCTCCGCACTTTTTACAGTGTGATATAGAGGGGACAAGTCACCCTTCCCTCAGTTAACTTTCTGCCACTATGGAGAGAGGTTCCTCTGTTGAAGCTATGTTTCAGCAGCCTTCTACTGCCAACAACTACCTACCTCAACCCTTTGCCTCCTTAGAGCCAAGTGTCTAGAATATGCCACAAAAAGTGCTCTTCAAAAAAAAAATGCAGATTGTGTGGATCCATAGTTCTCCACAGTGACAGCCATGATGAATGCCTTATGTGGCTTGGCAAAGAGCATGATGTCGCACACTGCTCTGTTTGTCACCAGTTCAGTCCAAAAGCTAGGCATGATAGAGCTTCCTGCCTAAAGGTGGTGCTCTGCGAAAACTCCTTGTCCAGCGCTGCTTGTGAGAAAAACCCATACAATAGGTTTCCTTCTATTGCCAGCAGATGGATCTGAGCTTTCTTGGTTCCTACAGTGCTGAGACCAAACCTGACCATCTCAGGTCTGACGCAATAATCGGGAAAGACTATGGGCTCCTCTCCCATGCCCCCCTGAATGGAGCACCTTGGAACCACCTTCCAGGAAGGTGCATCACAAATGTGAACACTCAGACAAGCAACCAGAATAAAAATTGTCATCCCCCCACTTCCCCTCATGCTTTAAATTGGCACAAGTTGACTGCCCACTACAACTGAATGCTCACTTCACTTGAGTTCAGTCCACTTCAGCTGCTTTCCACCATGGTCTCTCCATCGAATCCTTTTGCAAGGCTGCAATGTGGTCTTCATCAAGATATTACTTGATGGACATAGATGCCACGAAAAGATGCAGCAGTTGGAAGAGTGGTCCTGTAGTCTCTATTCACCTGAGAGTTCACACCTACCTTCCTCTGACTGGTGGGTCAGCTGGCTGCTCTCCCGTGTAGGAATGTATATGTACCAAAATGATGAAAACAGGTTTGCACTTCCTTGTACCTGCTGCTTATCAAGTGGTCACCTGTGCAATTATACCACTCTGCTCCACTGTGAGCTCTTATTTAAATCCAACAATTCTCCTTGCTCTGGTGGCAGAAAGCAACTGAGAGTAAGGGTGCTCTGGCGTCTCTATACTATGCTGTAAAAGGCGGGAAGACAGTGTGGGGGAGGGGGTGGAGCCACCAGTAGGTGTTTCTGAGCTTCAAAAACCTCTCTGTGGCTGGCTAGCATGTGCACAGAACCCATGTGCGACTGCACAGCTGACCACTCGATGAACAGCAGTTACAGATAAGGGCAACTCTGTTTTGTGTTTTAAGGATACGATAGGAAAGGGACCACTCTAGGGTATGCACGCAACCTTTGACAGGGTTCTAGTGAGGGTGGAGGGAGAGAAATTGGGGATCAGCAGATAACTAACTGAATAAAAATCAAACTGCACATGCCTCCCCAACTTCCATGCAATTCAATGAAGTGATAAAATTGACTGGCTAAATTGCAGGTAACTTCTGATCATGGCAATTCCACTAAAAAGGATTTTTTAAAAAGAAAGGATAGCATGTATTGAGATATACCCATTTTTTCATGTTCTTATAAGAAAAACACTCTTCAAAGAGCATTATGGGGGAGTATATTACACGGGCTTTACACCATTTGTTTCAAATAATACAGTACCATGGAGCTCTCCAGAATACCACTGGTTGTAGTTGCAGTGCTTCCAGGATATAATTTGAAATATTACAAATACTGAAACTGTGTGAACATGGGGCTTATGGGAAATCAGAGCTCTGTGGTACCACCTCGAAGCCCCGCAAACTTTATATGCAGACTTGGTAGAAATTAATTGAATAAAGACGACTTTATGGTTTAGGAATGAATTATGCAGGACAATATTTTATTGCTTAGGGGTGTTGGACTAACAATATTTAACATTTTTGTCCCCCTTAGGTATGCCTTACATTTTGTTATACAAAGTGGAATTTCCTACTATATCATGATCATTATAGGAGTGGAAAATATGCACAAGTGAGTATTGAGACTGTCATAAATGTTTTAGTGAACTTTACAGGCAAACAAGTGGGCCGAGCTTTAGAATATTCGATTGTCCAAACCGAGTGAAATAGAGTGCCTGAAAGATGGAAGACAGACTGGACCTGTTTTTGCAAGGAGAAAGGCCTTTGCTGATTTTTTTGGGAGATAATATTTTATCTAAACAGAGATGTTTCCAGTTAATTTAGTGAAAATATTACTGTGATACTTATAGAAATTTGTGGTCTTGTCTGTCTAAATTGCATAAGATATGGCAAGAAGATTTATCATGGCACACTACTAGTGCAATCCTAAGCAGAGTTACTTCCATTGAAGCCAGTGGACTTAGAAGGGTATAACTTTCCTTTAGGATTTCACTGTGCATATTTTAATATCAAACTTAATGTATTTTATTAGGTATTATTAGGACTGTTTCCAGTGTCTGAATATACACAGCAGAGAAGAGTCATTGTGCTCTCTGTCTGTCTGTCTGTAAAATACAATGGCTCTTCTCTGCTGTTCAAAGTGCCAAAAGCATGTCGCACTTATTGTTTACAAGAATGAGCCCTGGGGAGGATGCTGTAATTCTCAGTATTTAGCATGTACCATGTTTCCATTGCTTCACCATAAATTATGTGACTTGAATGTTTGTAATACATCTGAGTGCAGAGTTGTGTGACAGGTGAGAGTGTAGTATTTTGTTTCCTCTGTCGTCTTTTAAAGGGATAAAAAATAAATTACACTCTTTTTATCCTTGAGTAGTCATGGTGTGTGTGGTTTGATTTAACTGGGATTGTTTTATTCAGCCCACTTGTTGCCATCTGGGGAATGCATGGGCTTTTGCTTGTCTTTCCCTTCCACTCATTCTGTCACACTAGGATATGTATTGTCATATCCATGTGTGCTGCTTATATGGATTGATGTGACCGTGAATGTTTGGGGGAATCTTTCCTCAGTGCAAGAGGATGCTTGAGGGTCCTATATGGGGGAATGCACAATGAATAAGTTCAGTAAAATAAGAATAAATACATAACTGCTGTAGATATAGCATTAAGTACCTTTTGTCTGGGGACAGTGTTACAGAAGAAATAGCTCTTGTGTTGTAGAAATGATTGATATTTATCTGTAAAAGACTTAGGCTGTGGTCAGACGTGCGGTTTGATCCAGTGTGGCCCCACTTCTAATTGATACAGGGGTTTTTTTTGGTAACAGGGTTTTGATCAGACCTTCCCGCTTAACACACTTCAATGCACTTTCCCCCCATAGTTCATTGATCAGATGCAGCAGCCACAGAGTGGGGCAGTCAGGCAGTATTTTTAAACTATTTGTCTTTTGAGCATGCACATAAGTGCGCATGGGAAGCAGTGCTTTAAACTCTTGGCAGAATGGTGGCAGCTGGTGGCCAGTGGGATTGCTGGAGAAGGCTGCTTGGATATGTAGTTCAGTGTGAAGGAAGTGTTTTTGAAACTGCTTTTGATAAATTCAGTTTTCAAATGTTTCAAAGCCAGGGGGAAGAGAATAGAGAAGTCTCATCCTTTGTGCTGCCGGCATTTTTATTTAAAAGCTTGAAGCAAAGTAGGAGTCATGGGCATCGTTCTCGGACTGCCTCCCTCCCTCTCTGAAAAAACTCATCTTTTTAACCCCTTCCCCACTTTGTGGGCAGAGATCACAGAAAAAAGTACACAGACATCTTTCTTTGGAAGTTTTTAAAAAAGAAAACACAGTTTTGAAAAGCTCCTGTGTGCGTGTGTGTGTGTGTGGGAGCGGTGCAAATATGCCGTTATACACACCTTGCTAACTGCCTCAAAAAAAAAAGCATCAAACTAGAAGGGAATGTTCAGGCTTTCCAAGCGGCTTGAGAGAGCAATGGATTGATTAGTAAGGTGGTGTGAAACTGCATATACCAGAAAGGACAGGACTTTCCCTGGTGCCAAATAACTCCAGCTCAAAGACAGGTGAGAACGGGGTGCCCATGACTGGGGAATGGAAGACAGATGTTGCTGTCTGGACGTACATTTTAAATCCGGAAGGGAACAGCCATGACACCGGATCAAACAGCACGTCTGATCGCAGACATCAAGTGGTTTTGGCTCATCTGTTTGCAGTAGATTCCTTTGTTTATGATGAAGCCTAAAAATAATCAATTTGAACGATTATAAAGTGTAAATGATATGGATACTGCAAAGTCTAAGCAAACTATGTGGTTAAAAGTTTTTGTCTTGGCATGATTTCAGTATACCAATTCGAATCTTCATTTTGCACATTTTTTTGATTCACTTTATGAGCCTGGAGTAAGAAGGACAACACCATATGGGCAGTATGCTGAAGTACATTAGGGCTTTTTAAAGCTGGCGACTTGATTTTGTGGTGTTACTTCAAAAACTTGTGCACCCTACAGCACTGGCTTTCTGCCATTCTAGACCTGGGACCTATCTGTAATCCCTAGGTAGCAGCATGGAATTGCAAACACATGGCAGGGAGTCGTGTGATGTCTGAGTCATATGACAGGCTGTAGGGAAGACAGTTATAACCTCAGTTGTTTCAAGGCTAGAACTGTGGGCATCAAACCAAGAAGTCCAAAGACAGGAAGCTCAAACTGAGAACCAGAAAGAGCAAACCAAGGGGCAGAGCCAAGTCCATCAGTGAGTGACTCTTCCATGCTCCTTGGCAACTCTGCAGAAAGAGGCAGGGAGGCTCTTCATTTATGCACAACAGGACCAGGTTTCTCCACAAAGTGTTAAAAAAGGGTAGCTCATGACCCAGCAATTTGGGCTTCAGAACACATAGGTATGCAGAGCCTATGGTGTGGAGTCATGGAAATTAACTCTAGTTACCTTTAAAAGATTCTGGCGGCCCATTATGACTAATTTTGCTGGCACAACATTGCTCTAGTACTGCAGAGAGAGAGTTTATCTGGCCCTTGGGATGCAGTATGAGGCTTGCTTTTGTTAGCATGGTATTTACTAGGATGGCTTTTATCACCATGGGAAAAAGTAATTAATCCAAGCCTAAGACATTAATACTTGCTTCAGTTACCTTTCAACATCATCGCTTCATGAAAGACTGCAGTAGATTACACACAGTTAGAGTTTCTTCTTGCTGGAGCAGGCGAGTGAGAGATTTGTGCAACACTAATGGTATTGTCAGCTTGCTGTACATGAAAGGTCTGTTGTGGTGGGAGTTGGTTTGCACAGTCATTGAAAGCAGCTTCTATATGGCAGCTATGACATGTAGATCCATTTTTAATAAAGAGCTTTTAACTTGGAGCTACTCTGCATGTGTTACTGCAGCTAGCTGCCAGTGCTGTGTATCTCTTTGCTTTTGTGTTAAATCCTGGTACGCTTTCCCTCCCTTCTGCCAAACTAATAGACAAGGAAAAATTGTAATTAACTGAAGAGTTTAGTATGATTGTTACAAAAATATAAAGCCTTCCTAATGGGGAATAATTTCATTGATGCAAACTAACTTCTCATAAGCAATGGTATGCATACCTACTTTACGCTATGATTGTGTTGTCAAGGGAATGGTCTTTGCTTCTTTACTGTGGTTAATACTAGGGAGGGCGAGCAATCATTTTGAAAACTGGGGGGAGGGTGGAAGCCTCTCTAGTGTATAATCTAGTCATGACTTTATTTTATTTACCTCAGTTATACCTCACCTTTCTCTCCAATGGGGACCACCAGAGCTGAGGGGGGCTGGAGTTTGGCGTGGAGGCCCTTGTGGACGCTTGCTTTGCCGCTATTGGGGTGAGGCGAGAGTGTGGGCACGGCTGGAGGGCTCTGGGGCAGCGCGGGGCTCTCCGGGACAACGCTCAGGAGGGCTGTGCGGTGCCCGGGACCCTGTTTGCCTGGGGTGGCTGTGGGACCATCAGGCGACGGAGGAGCCAATGGAGCGGAGGCCAGCAACGAGGGGACCAGGAGGGGATCTTTACCTTTCGTAGGTCCCTTTTGCCGGTTGGGCGGCGAGTGGTCGCCTCGCGGAGATCGTGGTGCCCGAGCCGACTGGGGGACACGGAGAGCATTGACTTGTTGGGTCCTTCTGTCTGGATTGGCATCGTGGGACGGGTCCTGTGGCCGGACTGCGAACCTTCTGCCTCGGGTCCCCACGATTGGGCGGATAGATCGGTCTGCAAAGCTGGAAGGCCCTTGTATTGCAGCTGAGAAGAGCTGAGGACTCGAAATCAAGCGAAGCCCTCTAGTAGCAAGTATGGTGAATTCCTTCGAGGGCTGGAAGAGATAGAAGACATCCCCTGCCTGGAACAACTGTAGATGCAGATGGACGTTTCACTTTGTGTTAGCTATAGTTGTGTGAGTGCTGAAGTAGTGGGGGTGGGTGCATGTGGTTTTGTCTGCTAAGGGAAGTGATGTGTGCTGCAAGTTGAATGAGTGTGGTTGTGTGTTGAATTGCTCAGGGAATTAAGGGTGTGGGTAATTAGGTTCTCTGTTTGACCATTAGGTCAGGAAATTGTATTTTGTTGTGGCACTTGATTGTACTTTGATAGCAGTGGGGTGGGTAGTGTTTAGTCTATTGCTTTAGGAGTTAACTTGTGATCTTACTGTCATTCATCCCACTGATGATCTGAAGCTTTGCGGAGATTGATCAGTGCAGAAAATGCCTGGACAGCAGATTCCGGTGCTCTTGGGGAGGGGGGAAGTATTGCGGTGGGCCTAGGCAAGGTTTTAAGGGAAGGACGCGGAGAAATGGAATGGCTCGGCACCCTTCCAGCCTGCGGCCCATCCCAAGGGTGGCCGGCAGTGGGGCTAAGATGGAGAACCCCCCTCCATCATTGGTGTTGTGCAATGCCAGGTCTACTAACAACAAAGCCACAGTCCTTCGGGACTTTGTAATGGAACAATGGGCTGACCTGGCATGCGTGACCGAGACCTGGGTGAGGGAGGGGGAGACAGTAGTTCTCGCCCAGCTTGCCCCACCTGGTTTCTCGGTCCTCCACCAATCATGGACTAGGCGGCGGGGGGCGAGGAGTGGCTATTTTCATT